GCTTTCATCGTCAGAGATTGGGAAAAAATAGGTTTCGTAGGAAGATAATAATTCGTGAGGAGTTTGTAAATTTATATACTTTCGTTTTCTGGGTTTCTTTTGTTGGTTTATTTGATTTATTTTCTGGGTATTTAATTTGGGGATTAAACGATTTTCTGGGTTTGTTTTCAAGTTCAAACCATGTCCGATGGATACTACAGTTCGAAGAAGACCGATGATATCTGCGAAGATGTTTGTGGACAGGTTTCTTTCTGATTTTTTTTTTTTATTATTATTACAAAATTCAAAACTATATTAGTTTTCTCGTATAAAGTTTGTCTTTTTAACCTTAATTCTTGGTGTTCGAGTGAAAAATCGAGTTTCCTTAATTTTCATTTTCAATTAATTCGCCATGCACTCTGAAAAATTTAATCCTTTTTCTCAATAGATTGAAAATTTATCGAATCCCTTAACAATAAATTATGAAAGCTCTTTTTTTTTTTTGGTATGATGAAATATACTTTAATTTTTAATTGGCCAGATTGTTTCTGTTGCTTGAAAAGATCTTTGAATTTGTCATACAGTAGTATAAAGTTTTGATCTTCAAAATTTCTCAAATTGATTTGCGGTTCTTGAGATGATTGTTCTGTAATGGAATTAATTTTGTGTTTGTTGAAGCAGGGATCGAAAGCAGCTGCAACAATCTCAAGGCTTAAATGTGTTCTTAGAGGTTTCGACTTAAGAACATACTTGTTCCTCTTTATTCTGATGCCATTTGGTATCTTTGCCATTTATCTACACGGCCAAAAGTTCACTTACTTCTTCAGACCGCTTTGGGAATCGCCTCCAAAACCGTTTCACACCATTCCTCATTACTACAATGAGAATGTAACAATGGAATCTCTCTGCAGTCTTCACGGCTGGGGAATCAGAGAATCGCCTAGACGTGTTTTTGATGCGGTTCTGTTTAGTAACGAGAAGGATCTTTTAACTGTTCGTTGGAAAGAGCTTTATCCTTATGTGACACAGTTTGTGCTTCTTGAATCCAACTCGACGTTCACTGGTTTGCCTAAACCGTTTGTTTTCAAGAGCAATAAGGAATGGTTTAAGTTTGTGGAGCCTCGGCTAACTTATGGAACGGTTGGGGGACGGTTTAGGAAAGGCGAGAATCCGTTTGTGGAAGAAGCTTATCAACGTTTAGCGTTGGACCAATTGCTTAGAATAGCTGGGATTGAAGAGGATGATTTGTTGATTATGTCGGATGTTGATGAGATACCGAGTGCTCACACGATCAATCTTTTGAGATGGTGTGATGATATTCCTCCTGTTCTTCACCTTCAGCTTAAGAATTACTTGTATTCTTTCGAATACTATGTCAATAGCAAGAGCTGGAGAGCATCTATACACCGGTACAGTCCAGGGAAAACTCGCTACGCTCATTTCCGTCAGAGTAATGTGATGTTAGCAGATTCAGGATGGCACTGCAGCTTTTGTTTCCGTTATATCAGCGAGTTTATATTCAAGATGAAAGCTTATAGTCACTCGGACCGTGTCAGATTCTCTCATTACTTAAATCCAAAGAGGATTCAAGATGTTATTTGCAAAGGATCAGATCTGTTTGATATGTTACCTGAGGAATACACATTCAAGGAGATGATTGGCAAAATGGGACCTATACCTCGGACTTATTCAGCGGTTCATCTGCCTTCATACCTGCTGGATAACGCGGAGCAGTACAAATACTTATTGCCCGGTAATTGCGTAAGAGAAAAATAGACTGGGTTTATATGATGAACACACTGAAAATGTTCTTGTATAATTTAAATTAAGCTTCAGGTCCACTTAGTCAGATCCTTGCATCATTATTGACTTGAGATTAAAAAAAAAAGGCGCAATCTTTTGCTCGAAAGAAGGAAAATCTGAAGATAAGTAACGTCGTGAATGTATTTGATACTTCACCGAGAAGTGTGTATAACCCGAATGCTGGATGCAGATGGTGAGCTCTGAGGACTTTTTTCATCGGTTTCTTTTGATACAGGACGGTTTGTGAGAAGAAGAAAAAAGAAGCTTACTTTGAGTTAGAGAGGGGTACAATACTTCCCAGGTTTTTTTAACAATGGGAACAAATGTTGCTACCTAAGGCTGATTTAGTAGTATAGATGTTACAGGATCCATTGGTTTATATAACATTTTATTTGCGGTTTCGTTGTTCTGAGTTTTATTTTGGTTATTTATTATCAGTTACTTCATTCTTATTCAGCTTCGTTCTATCTATTAAGCTTTCTTTGCTCTGATTTAATTTTGACTCAGTATGACATAAAAACATCAGCTTCTTGCTTTCAATGTCTTGTCTGCGAAAAGTTTTCTTCTTTTCAAGTTTAAGCTGTGTTGTTATTGTTGTTGTCAGATTCTGTATTGTTATCTTTCTTAATTTTGGGGCCAAGCAATACTGAGAAGATGCTGATGAATTACTTTTGAAATTGCCAACTTAGTAATGAATCAAGAAGCAACAAAAGTGGCAAAAGGAATCCTTTGCTTTAAAGTTAAAATATTTTAGATGTGTTAAAGAAATCTTTGTACTACTCTTCCATGTGTGTCTGTTTATTCACTGAACTCCTTTAAACAGATTCTCTTTTTGACTTCAAAGAGGAGGTTACCTTATTGGATACGTATATTTTGATAAAGCCAATCTCAAAACTCATAAAACAATTAGGGGAAACGAAATATCTGAATTACAATAACAATGCAATGAACGAAGCTTCTGGCTTATCATGTTCTTCGTTCGTCCATTGAATTATCAGGAACCGAACCTAGAAAACAGAAAGATCAGCTTTCAGTATTCAGACCAGAGTTTTAACATCTTTTTATAATCAGAAACCAATGGTGACAAATAAAAAAGATCTCATCTTCTTCATTATCTAATCACTATCCCAATCCTCATCCCTCTGTTTTCCATTCTTTGTCTTTGAATCGTTGATACTATTATTGTTCCTGAATCTCGGTTGTTTAGATGCTGATGTTGTCCTCTTTTCATCTTCGTCCCCATCGCTGCTGCTCGAAATATAATTAGCTGGTGGTGCGTCTTCTTCTTCATCTTCTGATTCCCACATGGTGTTATCAAGATCACTCAACTCATCTTCATCACTCCTCACTCGAGGTCGAGGTCGAGGTCGAGGATCGGGGCTTCTTCTCTGAAAATCCTCTCTTTGCCTTCTTGTATTTGGTCTTGCTCTATCAAATCTCTTTGGGATT